TCTATTAATGAAATAAGTAATGAAATACAAGGGACACTGGATTTTCTCAATACTGAAGATGATACAAAAAATATAACTGGTATGTCTACTAAATATTCATAAAACCTGCATTTTTATTTTTTTACTGCTAGAAATTATAATTATTATCTATATATAGATAATAATAGTTATCACTATGAGTAAAAAATGAATTCTCCGAGAGATAATAGAAAATAGAAAAATTTTTTAGAAGATATTCATATTATATGAATATAATTAATATAAATAAAAAAATTGTTTCATTATTATACGCTGTAATTATACAGTATGTAATAGATGAAATATTTATATTTTTAGGAACGTTGTCACACCAAGTATTCTTCTCTGCACTTGAATCAGACTCGAATATTATTGATTCTTACTCAAGCTCCGATAAAAATGATAATACTTCTTCTAATACTTTTTCATTTAACTTTAATGATATTACAACTCCTGCAAATAATCAACTTGCTAATTAGATTGTAAAACATGGTATTTCAAACACAGCTACATCCGATTTATTTAAAATATTGAAGTCTTGTTATGATTCTTAGCTTCCTAGCATCAATTGGAACACTGATGAAAACAGAGGTGTCAAATACAACAATAAAATTAAAAAAGGTTACTCCTGGAAAGTATTTTCACTTAGTTGTTTCTAAGGTTTAAAAAAGAACTATGTTATAACAAATGAACATGAAATTTAAAAAAACCCAGCACAGGGGGGTCGCGGCACAGTGGTGACGTGGTATAGATGGATCAAGTATAATAATATCTGACAGAGATTAAAATCACTATAAAAAAAAACGCTTCGATGCAAATTTTTAGATAGTGTTTAATTTTAAAAAATTGGTGGATTATTCCAAAAGCTACATGATCTGCTAGTTCATTATTAATATCCTAAACGAAAAAGGGATTATTAAAAAGTATTATTTCTCATAAAAAAATTGTATTGATCTATACACTTTTCAATAAGTTATAGCATTATAAAGTTAAATAAAATCGAGAACTTTCACACAATAATAACATTCGGTAGCCATTTATACCGTGAAGATAAAATAAAGTCCAAAATTTTTTTTTTGCATAATAAAGTAAACTACATTAGCTTTAATTTAAGATATATATAAAAGTGTCAGACTTTCCGGAACACTTTCAAAATTTAAGTTGAAAAAGTAAATTTTTTGTGAAAAAGTTGTCATTTTAAATTCCCCCTGTGAGCAGGTAAAGGGTCAGATATGAAAAAAAAATATACTAAATGATAGGTAAAGACATCATGCATCTATATAAAAAAGAATTATATTGATCCATAGATTTTTCAAAAAGTTATAGCATTATAAAGTTAAAAATATAAAATATAATTTTTTTACATAAATCGTATTTTTTTATTAAGTTTGATGTCTGTTTTCACCATGAAGATAAAGTAGAGTCCGAAATTTTTTTTTTCCATAATAAAGTACATTACATTAGCTTTAATTTAAAATATATAAAAGTGTCAGACATTCCGGAACACTTTCAAAATTTAAGTTGAAAAAATTAATTTTTTGTAAAAAAGTTGTCATTTTAAATCCCCCCCTGTGAGCAGGTAAAGGGTCAGATATAAAAAAAATAAAAAAAAATTAACATATCTTAATAAAAGCAATACCTTTATATTATTATACATCTATTAAAAATATAAATAAAATATATTGATTTGCTCAATTTTGAAAAAGTTATGCCAGATTTAAGTAAAAAAAATTTCGAAATTTAGCGATTTCTAAAAATGTATTTTTTTTGGAGGATTTTTAAGGGTAATGTCTTCAACTAGATACGATTTGTGATCTTTTGACTTATTATTGAAAGAAATCGGTTCGGTGAGAGCTAAGAAAAAATGGTAACAGACACAAAAAAATAACACATCTTAGTAAAACCAATACCTTCTCAGCTTCGCATCGAAGCTAAAATAAGTTATTGGAATAGACGCCTTGCCGTTAACTAAAAGTTCCAAAAGTACATTTTGCCTGATATTATGTTATATTAGACCAAATTAAAAAGTTGTTTTTCCTATTGGTATTTATTGGGGTAATGATAAACACGCAGATAATAATGAATTTCTTTTTGATTTTTTTATTGAAATTCAATAGTTGATATTAAATGGACTTGAAATCAAAAATGAAAGAGGTATAATTTGTAAAGCTCAAATTGTATTGGATGTATTTTGCTGTGATGTTACGGCAAAGTTGTATGTACTGAAAACTAAAGGTCACACTGGTTTTTTCTCTTGTTCACGCTCTGAAGTAGAAGGAGAATATTACAATGGAAGAGTGTGTTTTCCTGATTTAGACTGCACAAAAAGATTACACGAACACTTCAGCAGTAAGAAACAAGAGGAACATCATATTGGACCATCCATGTCTATTCTTCTTAATATTCCAAACATAAATATAATTATCTGCTTTAGTCTTGATTATATATGCATTTAGTATGTTTGGAGATTGTAAGAAAATTAATTAATTTGTGGCTCAAATGCCCTTTAAAAGTCAGAATTCACAGTACTAAAAGTAAAATGCTTAGTTCGTTACTACTTTCATTGAAAACGTAAATTCCAATAGGTGTTGATGAGGTTAGTCGCTGGAAAGCAACTGAACTTAGAACGTTTTTGCTGTACTTGGGACCTGTTATATTGAAAAATATATTAAGTGAAAAATGTTATTTTAATTTTTTATGGCTACATATAAGCATTTCCTTATTAGTAACACCGAACATATTTGATCCTCTTTTAAATTTTTGCAACAGTTTACTTAAACACTTTATACGGAAATTTGGAGAACTGTAAGGAAAGGAATGGATTTCACATAATGTACATTCTTTACAACACATATGCGACATATTCAAATTTTGGTCAATTAGATAACTGCAGTGCGTTTTCTTTTGAAAATTACATGAAGACATTAAAAAAATGTATAAGAATGAGTCATCAGCCATTACAACAAGCTGTTAAAAGATATTCAGAGCACTCTGCTTATAAATGCCAATCAATAATAAATAATTTAAATTATACAACAATGAACATACCAAAGGCCCTGTACCACATATTCTACAAATTACGCTTCAATATAAAATTATTAGTTATAAAGACACAGATATTAAGATAAATGTTGTCGATTGTTATATACAAACAACTACAGGAGAAATTGTTAAAGTTATAAATATATGTCATATTATTAGTACGAAATTTGCTGTAGGGTACCGTTTTAATAAAAAATCAAATAAAAAACCAATAAGTAGCTCAAAATTAAATACTTTTTTAGTTGGAAATTTAAATACTTGTAAAGAATATTAATCAGTACATAACATTAAGTGTAAATGTATGGTTTTAAAATACAATAAAAACAAAATGGTTGCTTTTGCACTTATTTATACCTATTGCCACACGGAACAAAGTGTCTAATTATTAATTAGTAATTAAAATCTTGTATAAGGTATAAAAGTATTTTTAAGTAATGTTTTGTATATTGTTTATTTAATGTGTCTAAATTATTTTAAATCAAATAATTATTTGTAATATTTAATATAATCTACTAAAAATATTTATAAGGTACAAATGTTTTTTTATAATTATTAATACGATATTATGTAATATCGGGTTTAAGTTGATGTTTTACATATAAATAATATTGCATAACGTCTTCATAAGTTGGTAATACATTATTACTAAGTTCTTTAGCATCTCCAAAAATTAAACATTTTGATTAATTTCTTGTCAATACACCAGCCATTTTTAACAAATATTTAACACACGTAAAATTAACTAAAGACGACTCCGTACGAATGCACAGTGATATTAAATGCAAAAGCAAGTTCGTTTATTGAAGTGACAATGAAATATTATCGTATCATAAACATATTAAGATAAGATAGGGCTTAAATAGAAAAACCCAGTAATCATAAGAAAACAATATTACTATATTTTAAATGCCTTACGGCACTTCTTAATTTTAAACTAGACAAGTGAAATTTTATTAGTGATATATAGGATTTAAATACATATTTCCCCAACTATTAGAAGTTAATAAATATAGTTTAAAAAAACTAAAAAACACGCTTTTAAAGAACATCGAACTAAAAAGTTAAAAATAATTTTTAAAATAAGCGTAAAACAATAATGAACGAAATGTACTAGTATTATTGTGATAAAAGCGTCGGGCGCTCAATATACGAAAAATATAGCACAAAGCACCCACGCTTTTATCACAATAATA